ATGCTCAGCCTCGGTGCTGAGCCTGGCTGCCCATCCTGCAGCCCCCCCGACCCCCCAACCCCTTCCCCATGCCCTGCCTCTCAGCTCCTCCGCTCTCGCCATGTGCTCGCTGGGGTGATGGATGCGGGTGAATCCCCGTTTCCAAGGGAAAAGGGAGCTGAATTGATGGGAAGGTGCAAAGTTCTCAGCTGCCTGGCCCTGCTGAGGGATCCGCAGTGGCCAAACCCTCCACATCTCCTCACCTCCCACTTGCCACTTGGTTGCCTCTTGGCCCCTGGTTGCCTCTTGGCCCCTAGTTGCCTCTTGGCCAGCTGTGGGGCCGGCTGGGAGAGGAGCTGTTGGGGAGACAGAGGTTGGAGAGAGATATCTCTCTGCTGGCTTGGCCATGGAGGAGAGACAACACCATGCTGGTGTTGACACCCCTTTCCCTGCCAGTGGGGAAGTTGCTTATTTTCCTGTTCCTGTGTTGCTGGTGAACGCTGGCCCGGCCGTCCTGCAGCTCTCCCTCCCCACGCTGAGCCCTGCCTGCCCCAAACCTCCCCAGGAGAAGAGGTCCATGCCTGCAGGCTCAGCTAGTTCTACCCCAAAAAGAAGGTGTGAGGGAACGCCAACGCAGCAGCCATACCAGGGGAGGGATGGAAACCAGGGAGAGTGAGAGACAGCAAACGCCGCGCTGGCGCTCAGAGGGTTTTTTTGGTTTTTTTTTCTTCTGACGGTGCAGAGATCTACAACGGGATGGGTCATAACACAAGAGCAAGAGCACCCGATTTACAGGCCCTCGGGGAGAAAACCAGAAGCTCAGTGGGTGGCCGGGGTTTGCCAAAACCGATGTGACAGCCACAATGGGAGTGTGAAGGCATTTCGTGCTGAGAGAGAGATGAATGGCTCCGGTGCTGGAGGGCAGGCTCTCAGGGAGGGCAAGACCTGGACAGATTGATGGGAGAGGGGATTTCTCTCTGCCACGCTCCGTTTCCAGGAAGGGACTCTGAACAAAGCTCCCGTGCGAGGGGGGCTCAGCAGCCTCCTGCCAGGCCCTTCCCCAGTAGCTGTTGGGATAGAGCAGAGCACAGATTTGTGTGGAAAGCAAAGTTGGGGGTTTAGGACCCTCATTTGCAGGCTTGGGGCAGCCAGCTGGGTGGCTGGAACATGCCAGGGGTGGCTCGGAGCAGAGCCCGTGCCCGTGCCACCTCCCACGTCCCCGCAGTGCCCTTTCCCTGCCACAGACAGACAGACAGATGGATGGATGGACATTTCCCTCCTGCCCGCCCGCAGGGCATTGGCTCTGCAAGTCAGCTGGCTGTCACGGGGGGGGGAAAGAAAATAGCACCTGCCTTCCTAGGTCACGTTGAAGGAGCTGCAGGCGTGGAAGAATGGCTTTAGCTCGCGCCGCTTGCCGGTGGCTGGCCTTTAGTTGGAGGAGCCCGGCTGGCACGGGGGGGCTGTGCCATCTGGCAAGGGTGCTGCCAGCCCAGGCAGGGAGCTGGTGCTGCATCACAGACAGGTTGCTGGTTTTCCCCCCCCCCATAATTCCTAGGAAAGCTCAGAGAATCCTTCCGGATCCCTAAGAAGGTGTGAATTAGCCCAGCAAAGTGGGGGCTGTGTGTGTGCACAAAGCTGGGGCGCAGGGCAGATGTGCTGGGTACCACGGGGCAGGGATGCTGCTGACGGCAGGAGGGGGGGGTCAGCCCCCTTCTGGGATGTGTGGGTGGAACTACGCTCCCAGGGGAAACCCAGAGTCCTGGAAGGCCCGACAGGCACCACAGCTTGGCCCTGGAGGCAGGACTTAACCTCCTGAGGTTGCCACGGGCTCTTCTAGGAACAAGGCAGCGGGCAACGACTCTCCAGCTCTGCTCGCCGAGCAAGGTGGGCTTCCTCTAACCTGCAAGTGTAGCCCCACGGCCAGCAGCCTCCAGAGGTGTGCAGGCTGGGGAGATGCAGGGGTGACCCCATGATGGTCCTTAGTCACGGCGTTTGATGCAACAAGTGGAAGCGTCTGGGGCAGCGCTGAGTGAGCTGTGAAAACCCCTCCAGAGGGGACGGGGCTGATGGCACCAGAGGAAACAGGAGCCATGTTCTTCTCCTGCACCTTCAGGCCTGGGCTCCCCCAGCCAGGATGGGTGGGGAGGGTTGGAGGTGGCTGTTCCCAGCGCGCTGGGGAAGGGTATTTGTCCCTTCCTTCATCTCTCTGGGAAACAGGTACCAGCAGATGGGGTGGCTGGCTGGTGGTGGCAGGCCGAGGATGCCCAGGTGGGATCCAGCATTGGAACGGGCTGCCCAGGGAAGTGGTTGAGGCACCATCCCTGGAGGTGTTCAAAAGATGGGTTGACATGGTCCTCAAGAATATGGTTTAGTGATTTTTTTGTATTGCTTATTTCTTATTTATTTTTTTGTCAGATTTAGTTGATGGTTGGACTAGATGATCTTTATGGTCCCTTCCAACCTGGACAATTCTATGATTCTATGATCCCAACAGCAGGCAGCACGTGCTTGCTTCCTGCAGGCCAGCCTGGGGTTGTGTCCGTGCTCCCAGGCTTTGGGAAGCCCCAGCAGAAGAGCAGGAGGAATGTCCAGCACCATTTTGCAGTGCTGGATCTCCACCTTCACCCTCCTTGCACTCACCACTGCAGGTCCCTCAGACCCTGCATCCTGCAGGGAGATGGGGCAGGGGCTGCTGGAGCTCGGCTGGGGAAAACCTGGGGCCTGGGGCCGCAGGGCAGCCCCTTTGGAGGACTTGAGTGGCTGGAAAATCTCCTTGAAAAGGCTCTTTTCAGCTTCTGAAGAATATGAGTCACGCACGGGTTGAACAATCCCCTTCCTTCCCCTCTTCTCCCACACACCCAAAATCCCCTGAGCGGGACCTGCAGCAACCACTGATTCAGAAATTCGTGGTATGAGGGTACCGTGGAGTCAGAGATGGGTTTTTTTAGTTTTTTTTACTCTGTTTCTTTCCATTGCTTAGCGAGGAGAAGAGATGTGGAGCCGGAGAGCGTGCCTGGGGGCTCTGCTCTGATCCTGCCCCTTTGCTAGAAGTCTCTTGGTGGTTTCCCACGGCTGGGCAGACCTTGACCTTGGTGGGACCCCCCTTGTTCCCCCCCCCGTGGCTGTGGTAGCCTGCAGTCCCCGCAGTGATGCTGGGGCTGGACGGGTTGCTGAGACCAGCCTCTTCCTCCCCGGTGAGTAGGAAGGTGTGGGGGTGCTGGGGGTGGCTTTGCTGGGCTGGTGGTGAGGGTGGGGGGAGATGCTCCCAGAGGGGACTTTGGGGTCGCAGCTCTGGATTTGAAACCAGATGCTTCCAAAGGGGAAAGAGGGAATGGGAATGTGGCCGGCAACCGCCTCTCTCAGGCCACCCCCCCCGTGGGAAGGATGCAGCCGTGTAAGTGGGAATTGGGGGAGCGGGGGGAGTGGGGAAGC